TCAACATATTTCCTGTCTTTATGTTAATCACTTCACTATATCGTATTCCTTCTAACAATTAATCTCACTCCTCATTAATCGAGAATCCTGGCGATTCTGTTGACGTTCAAATCCACGATTAAAGCCTTATATCTGTCAGATTGTGAATTTTGTTCCTATAAGTATGGCACGGAAATGTTTTACAAGCCCATACCAATAGCTGGCGACGTTCTTTTTCATGGAATAGAATAATTTAAACCTGCTTTTGTTTAAAAAGTTCGAATGCATAGCAAGCGGCTTGATCTTTTCCTATCTTTCCTTGGACTAAGTATGCTTCCCTATAGCCATAATTTACTCGCGTCCGTTTGTTTAGAAATAAATGGCGTTGTTTGAAAATCAGGATTACGTGACAGTACTGGCGCTTTGTTAATTCTTTCCTTTAAAGAGCAAAAAACTACTCTGCTCCTCTTGTTCCCATTTCCATTCACTATCTCTTCTTTAATAACTTTGTCACAAGGGTATTAGCAGATTTTACTTAAACTTGTCAATAAATCTACGATAATAACCTTGCCAAACCGAGAAATGATTTTATGTCTTCTGATATCTTTTGGTATTGAAAATCTCTGCAGCGGCTCAATCTTTTCTGGATCTGGTTTCTACACCATCTTGGCGTTACCAGGTGTCCTAAATACTGTAATTCCTGTTTTAAGCAAATTCACATTTATACTGGTTCTTATTCTTTTCAAATTACATTCCCTTAAATTTTGAAAAACTTCCAATCAGCTTTTGATTGTGTTCTTCCAAAGTTTTCTCCGAATATATATATTATCATCTAAATAAACCAAACAACGACTACCTAACTTTCTGATAATACGATTTTTCATAAGCCTCTGGAAGGTACTGGGAGGCGGATTTCAAACCAAACCGGCATTACGTCTAAATTCATTAATGTCGGTGTTAGTGCTCTAAACGCAGTTTTACATTGATCTTCATTTCGGCCTATTGGCACTTTGCCAATATCCACTCCGACCGCTTTTCTGACCTCAATCCGAGAAGCTGAGAAATACCTAGCCCTACCTGATTGTCCAATATTTCTTGAATATTTGGAACTCGCGAAAAACTGTCTCCTGATACGACGCGTCCATTTAACTTTCTCAAAATCTACACAGATTCTCCATTTTCTTTGACCTGATGCGTCTAATTTCTTTCTGGAACGATTAACTAAAGGGAAAAATGTCCTAAGACTCTGACTTGGTGAATTTATTTCTTGTCTCGAGCTTTAGACTGGATTTGTTTTTCTACATTCAACTTTGTTTTTCCGGTTAATCTGAATTTTTAGAGTAATTGCTTTGCTCTCGGGATTCCTGGTGTAGGAATCGTGTGTTCGACTCCTTCCTTCGCACTCGTTAATTTGGTCTCCTTCTAATTTAAAGATATCCTTGGAATTGATTGACAAATTGTCGAATTTCTCTTATGTACCCTCTTTAATGTGAAAAATCTTTAATTTCTCAATCTAATTTACGGATTCTCTTCAGGATCTTTCGCAGTGGACTAATCGCCATTCTCTTTTCGGACGTATTTTCTTAATACGGTGTTTCACATAATTACCTGCTCTTCATTTGTAACATTTACGCAAAGCACTGAAACCTATTGTCTTTACATTTCACTAGTCCACAGCCTATATATACTCCTTCTTTTAATGTTTGATTTTCAATTAATCTATCACCCACTTTCTGTGGTTGTTGCTAACGACACTATGTTTCGCTTGCCAGCGGGTACTCTTAATCAAAGAATGTTAATGATATTCCATACGTACTGAGAACCATTCTTGCCCTAATATCATATCGAGTTCGTGTGGCAACTGTTTACCAATAAAATTCGTGTTTTTACGAGGTTCTGATGCTTCTCCAAGGACAGTAGTATTTATCCAATTAACAATTAAATTGATTCCCTGTAATTCCTTTGTATGTTCATTATTTTTTCATCTGTGCATGCTTTATTTTCTCTTTTATTTCTTATTTGCATCTAATATTACCAAGGATACCTGAGACCCGGTAAATTTCTATTAACGCTACACCCATTTCACTTTTCCCATTGCATTACATTAATACGTACATTCGTATTCATTTAGCTTCATTATGTCGATCTACATTTCTTGCAACCTCTTTGTAACTCTTCATTTAACATTTAAACCTCGAGAACTACAGACCTTGTGCCATATTCTCGTCCGAGGATTCACCTGACTTCCCGCGCACTTCGAGTCGCGATCTCTTTAGGACTTTTCGCTAACCTAATTGTTTGCCGTTTCCCCTCTTTCCTTATCCAGCCTCACTTTCTAACAGTACCATTTTCGGGACGCAATCCAATTGCGTACCGCCATCTACTTGTGGACAGCACCCGTTCTGCCCATCGCCTTAACGAACCATGCTGTGCCTAGGACTTATCTCGGTCTCAACAGCCCTGCTGTCCTGTTTCCCTGCGTTCTGCAATTTCTAGCCTCGTGACCTTTTCTTATTGCACTTCGCACAGGTCCGTATGGTGGTGTACCCCCGTACCATTCTCGCGCCTCTATGTCCTATTTCTTGACTCGGAACATGTTATTACTGCTGAATTTAACTTATTTTTCTTACAATCAATGTTTCTTTGAATTTGTTTACGCTGATCATAACGTGGTGATTGCTTAAATTCACCTTATTTGGATTACTGAATTTGTGTTCGTTGCGACAAAATAAGAACTTTCCTCTCTAATGCATATTCAATTAACTGAGATATATAGACTATGCTTCTCCTTTTGTTTTACCATGTTTGTATTACGATCATCAACTAATCCTTGAACAAAACATATCTTTAACTATTTCTTAGCATGATAGCCAATTCCTCCTTCCACGCTAGGATGGTTCTATCTGCTCTGTTTTACGTTCGCGTTTCCCTTGTATTAATTTCAGCGAATAAATCATTTCAATGCCGTGCGAAACCCCATCTGAATTATAGTTTCATTAAAATTTGCCTACTATTAAATAGTGTTCTTGCATTGAAAAGTCTAAAGTCCTTCTTGTCGCCGTAATGTTCCTCTAAATGTCACCGTGCGTCTTCCCACGATGACCTTCTTTAATCATTAATTTGCTTTTCGCATCTCCCGCATATTTTTGCTTCAATGAAATTTAAAAATAAACCGTGTTTATAGGTATGAACGATCTTCGTATGCGGCTTCTACCACTTTCTATAAATTCTCGCAGTTCCCTCGGTTACCCTCAAAGTCTTTTTTCGTACCAATTTTGATTTTGCTTCCGGCCGGATATGTAATCTTGCTTCGGGAGGAAGCACCTTACTATCAGCCATCATCCTCAATTAAGCTAACATCAACTAGATTAAACACCAATACTCAAACTTCGAACCTTCCTACGCTACACCAACGGCATAAGCGCACTACAAAATTCCTGAAACACACTTTGGATTCAAGATAACCAGGAGGGTTGGACTAACCTTTAAAGATATAGACGGTTTCTTTGAAGGCAACCAAATTGGAGATCGCTGCTACGTGTTACGTTGCCGGCTGCACGTACGGCCTGCACACTAGTGATGGCATCCTCGGTACACCAGGCTGCTGCTGTTGTAGTGCTCAGATAACCAAAGGACTCCGCCAACTCCTCTCGGAAGTTTCGCTGCCAGCTCCACACACAATCACGCCTGGTGAATACGTGGACCCCTTGAAGAATTGCAAGAAAATTGCGACTTTTTGCGAAAAACCTGTGCTGAGCAGTGCTTTGATTATGAAGAAATCCCACCGCTGCCACCATGTAAGCTTGAGTTTGCTGCTTGCTAGGCCCCGCTTGCAACTCACAATGATATTAGGCCAGACAGGGCGTGCGCAGTTAAAGCAGCAAACATATACAAATTATTTAAAGTTTAGGGGTCCTTGGGAGCTAAGTCCCTTCAGAAGACTGCAGGATGGTGGATCAGCACAAGTGAAATGAAAGAGCAGAATATGTGTTTTAGCAATGTCGAAGCAAGAGTTCCTTTACTTGCACAGAAATTGAAGTTACACCAGAAAACAGTTACATCAAAGTGATGTTGGAGACCTCGTCCAATGTAAACGCGTAGCTCAGAGAGTCCCCCGGGCGGGGCCCGTGGGCCGTATTTTTAGTACTCAGGGCTTTGTTTCTCATACGCTTCCATGGGTGGCCGTGGGGCCTCCTTCCCCAAAACATGACGTGGGCCACAAGGCGTCGAAACGCCTCTCTTTGCTGATGTTGCTCTACTTTCGAACATGATCGTCCGTCACCTTAAAGCGCTACTCAGCTGTCGGGTTGCTAGCGGGTGGCCTCATGTCGCAAGAACCACGTGCCCTAAGTTATTTATGTTAGTGGATTACTTCCCAGCTGGAATTGCGTCTATGATTCAAAGCTTCCTATAATAGAATATTAAAAAAGCTTATGATTACAATTACTTACAGTTTACAATTATTACAGTTACAATCATTACAGTTACAATCATTACAGTTACAATCATTACAGTTACAATCATTACACCGTACAAAACTTGGTGAAAATGCAAAATCATTCTAGAGAAAATTGAAAATCTCATTGCGAGAAATCCCTCTGCGCATTTGCCGCGAAGGTCCTTTATACCTAGAGGAAAACCACCAATAAAGAATTATCTTGACATACTAAAATAAAATCGACACAAATACCGAGAACTATTAGTTCGCGGCATCCATCATCTACCACTTGTCACCCAAAGGTACTATAGTATTTGGATTAACCTTGATCGTAGGACAAATTACATACTAAGATTATCCACATCTGTGCACGCCAGTGCACGCTTCAGCTAATAATAATGTGAGAGCTCTGTGTATATAAATTATGTATACTCTTTGAACCAGCATTAGCCAATGAACATGCAGTGTGTATGGAAGTCAATTTTGTTCGTCCTAGTTTCGTTGGTGGGCCATGTTGAAGGGATACTTAATCGAATTAATGATTCTTATTGATGCCCCAATGTATAGTTTATGTATTTGGTTTTCTTAAGCACTCTATGAGCCGTGTGTCGGCTTTAAAATGAGCACCTCTGCGGTTGTACATACCTTCAAAGAAAAGGTTAAGGATTTGGCATTTGAAACATTACTTCTCTAAATTGAACTTTTAAACTTGAGTAACAGTAACTGGTACAAAGAGAAAAAATGTCATATGCCAATGTGCAATTATATTAGAATAATATTTTCGGCTTTTCAACTATATTCAGTCCCTGAAATCAGAACATCTTAATAAAGTCTTCCTTCTTCAAAACATTTTGTTATGACAGTGAACAATGTTAAAGTGTTCTATTGCTCATTCTCTTTGGTGAAGTCATGTACATAGAGTAAAATAGGTATGTCCCATTCTCAAAAGAGTATTGATGTATGTTTTGTTTTAGATTGAGGATGCAGCAGCAATGGTTAGAAGTATGGATGCGGAGGAAAAGTTGCAAGCAGTAGAATATTGGAATGTGGTTTCAGAACAGTTACAAATAATTGTCAATCATTCTGCAGAAGATCTAGGTGCCTTTACATCTCCACTGGATGTTGACAAGGTGCAAAACATAACACAAAGTTCTTTGAACAGGATGAATTTTGCGTACCTAACATGTTGTGTTCTTTTATAGTTACCTGATTTTATTGATGCTAGTCAATTGGTTGCTCTGGGTCTTGCTCCAACTTTCATGACTAGTTTTGTATCTAATAGTGGCTTAGATATTTCATCAGATATTCTAAGGAAACATTCATCAAAGGATGGTACGTAATAACTTGTTCACAGAAAAAGCATTTATATTCAATTAAGTTTCAATAAGTGATTATGATTCGTTTTAGTTGAAGGAACAGTTGTGATTACTACTGCTTTGTCAGAAACAGTGTCATTGCCATCACTTAATAGTGAGAGTGCTATAGTTATTGATTCAGTGTCAGCAATGCCACAAACTGAAGTTGAAGCATGCCAGACTTTACCAGCTGATAGAATGTTGAACATATCAGAATGTGAAGCTTCGCACATCACATCAATTGTGGATAATGAGTTGGTTGATCCTGGAGTGCATTTGGATGACACTGTCAACTCGGAAGCTTTGGACATTCCTGATCCTATTGTAGAAGCCAATGACAGTTTGGTAAGCGCCAGCTGAAACTGTTAACAGATTTTCTGTTATGTTATAACAATAAAAGTTAGGAGAGCTATTCTTTAAATTGTGTACAAGAAAAATCTTTAGGATTGACAATTATGCATTGTTAGTTTATGTTAGCCTGTTAGTTGTAAAGAACTTGTTGGTTTAGGCGGAACTCATAATGGACTGGTGTCGTTAATTCAAAAGTGTAAACATTATCATTGAACTCTGATCATGTCTAAAGATTTTGTTCATATTTAGATGAGATATCAAGAACGGTTTTCCTTGAGACTGTCATCCCAGCTTTACTGCAACAATTTACATTTGTTTCATACATTGTTCTACATGGTAATGGTGTCTCATGTGCTCATAATTGGTCAATCCTAAACAAAAATCTCTTACAGCATGGAATCTCAGGATAAATCAATCTTCTTTTTGATTGATAAATAGAATTTTAGTTGAAAAATCAAATATTGTGTCATATTTAATTACACTTATAATTCTTGTGAAGATAGCTCAATAGTTTATTTCTCTTGTTTATGTTCAAAATGTGAAAAGTGTTTCTTAAAAAGTTTTTCTCATAAGTTCCATTTCTTGAAAATATTTCTATCATTTATTTATTTACACAACAGGCTTGCTTACCAAAATTAAATTATGTATTACACATTGTTAATGTACATACAGAAGTTAACGTAGTAAGAAATATTAAAGTTAATAACATTAACAAAAAGAAATGAAGGGCAATTAATAAAGTTTCAAATTAGTGATAAATAATTCAAACTTGCTAAGATCCACTATTCTTTGTTTCAAACATCTTACCAAACTCGCTTCGTTCATGCCTAATTGATCATTGCTCAAATATTCATTGCAATATGTTTTTAAACTCGGTTTTGATGAACAGTAGTAATTTTGTGTTTTCCAAAACATTTCCTTAACTAAGACATTCCTTCTTGTTTTACATGATGTTTTACATGCATTTTGTAGTGAATTAATAAATTTCTTAATTCTTGGCAATCAGTTTTAGCATTTAAAAGATTGTACATAAATTTATTGTCCTGTTATACGCGTGAAGACTTTGAAGATGGTTATTTAGTTGGCAGCATTTACTGAATGTCTGAAGCATTGAGCATTGTCTGAATAATCATGGAATAAATTGATATTTGATTTTTTTTTATCTTGAATGATGCATATCTGAAAAATCTATGTTGTATACTCTAAATTTTTTTATTGCAAAATTCACACTTGGAGACTACACTACTGAGTAGTACATCAATTTTGATTTCACTAATGTGTTATACAAATTCACTGCTGTATCAAGTTGTTTAAAATGTGATGTTTGTCTTTTGAACCTAATAGTTATAAAAACTCATTAACTATATAATTAACAGGGTCATAAAAAACATATTTGGATCCATCACTACTAAATCTTTAATTTGATTAATATCTTCAATCTCGTAACTTTTCTCTCCCCCCCCCCCCAAAGACATCATCATTGACTTGTCATACACAATTGTAATTGTTGTACATGTGACTCAATAAATATTATTATTATTATTATTATCATCATCATCATCATCATCATCATCATCAATTGTGACATCTCCATCATGGTCAACAATTGATGCCTTCAGCAATAGTATTAAGTATCATTCAATTTTCTAAACAGGAAAAAAATCTATAGAGAAAAAAAATGTAATTTGAATTTGCAGGCATTACAATTTTTTGCACGTAGGATATACCTCGTTTTCAGCCAATTTCAAATTGGCATGTGAAACTTTAAGGAAGTAAACTGGATTTGGGTGTATGCAGAAGATCAATGAATTGAATTGTGACACTTTTTCAGATGGTGCAGATAAATCTTTTTATTTTTGCACCCAAAAATTTAAATTGACTAATTTTTAAGTTTTAGCTTTGGTAGATTAGTATAATATTTTCTTTTAAAAATGTTGTGTTTACTTATAATTCTTAAGTACATTCACATTTCTTTCCCCATAGATTTCTCAAGCAATAAATGAAAATTCCATGGAATCATTAACACCAGTTAATGGAACATCAGAATCTGTAAACTCAATCTCTCATCACCCTCCGAAAACGAAAGGGAAAATTAAAAATGGTGAAGGCAGTGAAGAACAATTTTATGAATGTTCATATTGTATGAGAGCATTTTTCACACATTCTCAGCTGACAAGTATAATTGACTTTTTCTGAAGCAAATTATTTTGTAATAATGAGCAATTGGTGACAATAATATTATGTTGGTTTTTTATATTTCAGCTCACATGTGGACACACACAAAACCATATGTGTGTTCTGTGTGTCATGCTCGATTTGCAACAAAAGGAAATCTGATTGGTGAGTGACAAATTTTACATTTGAATTCTTGATACATTTTTTAATATATATTTTTGGAACATTTTCATGGTAAATTGACTATTTGGTTTAATCAAGTTTGTTATGTAGAATTTTTCAAATGATGTTGGGGGAAGTAGTCTTCTTTTTTCTCCTTTCAAATGTTGCTGCCACTAAGAGAAACATTATGAAGAATATTTCTTTAAAAAAATAGTAGTAACAGTAGTATATCTAAAGGTTAATTTTCCACCAAATGGTTTGGGTTCTAGATACCTTATTTCTCATGTTTGTGTTCAATGTTCAGTTAATAATCCATGAGATATTGGAAGATGAAGTGTAGTTGTTAAGTGGCCAATGTAACATCTCCCTCAAAAGTATTTTGAGTTGTGTTCTTCTAAATTAGCTGCCTTTATATGGACGTATTTGTTTCAGTGTGTCTTAAAAGAGCAATCACTCACTTTTAGTGTATCATTGAATCAGATAAACCATTCTTGCAATTGTGATTTTACTGGTTATAGATACTTCTGGCCCTTTGGAATTTACATCAATTCCTCTCTTAACCTGGCTCTAAAATGACTCTCAAAAGAACTAAAAATTTAAATTAGTCTTTCTCTTTGCTATTGCTTACAAACGAAGTGATTACAACTGCACACCTACTTTTCTTTTTTCTTGGTTATCATATAAACACACAGTTTGTTTTAAATCTTCATATATTTTCAGTTATCATTCTAGTTCCTTACAACAATTTCTTAGCTGAAAACGCTGTTTTTTGTCCAGTATTGGGCTTGCTATCTTATTAGGAATTTTCACTCAGTTTGCTGTCAAGTAAGTTCCTATTCCTCCAGTGATTCTACACTCCAAATAAGGTTCTGGCCTTTCCATTATTTTGCAATTAAGCTTGGTGGTTAGCCCATGATGCTTGTGGACAAAGAGGTTGGCTTCACAATGCCTTTCAGGAGTTCCATCTATTCATATTTTTCAGGGGGGTTCCTTCACTCAAGTGTTTGCTTGATGTGTCTTAATTTAATAGACCCAAAAATTTGCCTTCACCCTTTCTCTACTTGGCTACTCTTTGAACTCTCATGTCAGAAAATATTACAAAGATCTACAACATGGAAAAGCAGGCTTACTGACTTTTGATGCAGTAGGATATCCCCTTTCCAGAAGGGTATTTCTGGTACTTTGTGGTGAATAATTAAAACCATTCCCACCAGATAAAAGTAGCCATTCACCATTGTAATCGGTTATCTAATAATTGTGTTCTTTTTATATTGTCTCAATTCACTTTAAATATTTTGGTGTAGGAATCTAAGTACTTGCACATGAATATTAGGATCTTTAAATATGTTTCTAAATTCTTTGTGACTAATCCCAATTTTCTCATTTGTCTTCCTATCTTTAATTCTACAGTTTGTATCTTTGTGTTTTTCATTGATGATGTCAAATGCAGGACATCTGCAAACATTCCCACCTTGATGAAACTATGTAATATAATCATAATTGTGAAGCAAGAAAACATTACTTACTACATGATAATTTTAAGTAAATCTATTTTGTAATAAGCAACATTGATCTTGTGTCACCTTATGGTCAGAAGTACTGGTGATCAGTGACAGCTGGTGGGATGCGAATTAGGAGAGGCGGCATACATGTCCAAACTATCACATATTTAACGTCTTCAAAATATTTCTTGAATGAGAAAAACTATAGCATGTAGAGTACAACCAATTTGCATGCATCAGGGTTTTAATCCTTGTCTTTTATGTTGATAACAGAAAATATAACTGTGCTCACACAAAAATAATTTAAACATATTGCCAGCAAACAAAAATTAGATGAAAGAGTTGGTATTCTTAGGTTAGTTAATAGGCTTGGGCCCTGCCCAACTAAACAATAATAGTTGCACGTTGTCCCCTTCAAGTTCCCAGTATCCCCCAGTATAATAGTTGCTCTTTCTCAAGCTTCGATCGCCTCACATGCTCAAGCTACAGACAGCCTCACAAAAGTCCACATTGCTACTCATTTTAAGAATCTTTGACCTAAGCAGGCACATAAAACTAAATTCACCCTCAAAAATGTGCTGGTGGTATGCATATATTAAATGATTTATTGCATTGATTTTAATTGAATTAAACTGATACCTTATTTTACGTGTCGAGACTCGGGCCATCAGGCCCACTCTTCCCTCTGACCATGCAAATTTCGCTATGCTCCTTTCACTCACTAGCAAAGAAAGGAGGAATTTCTTGGGCGCGAAAACAGGTGATTTGAATTTAGCTCAGAGGTGTCATTTAGGCTTGAGGATCTTTTACATGCAAGTAAGTGTACTAACATGGGACAGCCTGCTTTACTTCTCCTCCGGGAAGGAAGGCTTTCAAAGGATATTTTCGCTCTTAAAAATCCACAACTTCAATCGGGTTTGAACCCGCCAACTTGGGTATAACAGTCCGTTACACCATCGCCACCCATTTACAAGTTTAAAACTTTTTGCAACTTTTCCCGAGGTTGTTTTTTTTTTTTTGAGCCCTAGAGCCCTTAAAGATCAGCCACCACTGCTGATGATTGGAGGTTTGATCCCATCACTGTCTGAGAAATTTCCTTGATTTGTTTAACATCAGTAGTTGAAGTACCTAAAACCACAATCTATCATTTTGTAATCAGTTATTCTATGTTGCCAATGATTTAAAAATTCAATGGCATTGATTAAAAAGTCTTCGTCTAATTCAACCTAAAAATTTACATTAAAAATTTCTTCTGCCATTGTTTTAATTAACAAAATGCACAATTTAAATAGAATAGTAAAATGCACTGTAACATTCTCTAGCATAAATCGAAGCATTTAATAAAATGTTTAACAGACAATTCGAGTTTTAGTTAGCCACTTCATCTGTTTATGTGCAATCAATTCTTATTGATTTTGCATTCAATAATTTTATCTATTTCCATTGAACTTTCCATTAAAGATATGCAACAAATACATAATTGAAGTTCTGAATTTGATGTTTATTTCTTCACATTAAGCATTAATAATAGGAATTGCTTGTGCAAATATGAGTGAGTTATGATTTTTAATGAGTCTATTTGGTTGTCAAAATGTGTAAATAAATTAAATGTACATACTGTTTGCCACCAGTGCATAATAGAAGGCATAGCGGGGAGCTGCCGCATGTGTGCCTTCTCTGCCAGGCAACTTTCAGCACACGAGGCAACCTCCTAAGGCACCGCAAAGCGCACTCAGGTGAGAAGCCGTGGCAGTGCACGGTCTGCTCATCGCGCTTCACAGAAAAGAAGTCTTTGAAAGTTCATATGCGCCGACACACGGGTGAACGTCCCTATCAGTAAGTAATTCTGTCAAAAATATTGCTATTTTTGGGTCAGTTTCTTGGGAAACACTGCTTTACGAATTTCCCTAATCCAAACCAAAGTGGTCGTGAAACTAGAAATTCATTTTCCTTCTGACACCACCTTTGGGATATCTGATTTAAATTTTCCTTTCACTTTTACAAATAAACAAAGCAACTAAATTTGTCCAAAGCAGATTATTAATGTAGTTTCCCTTGATAATCCAAAGCAGTAAATGGATTGCAGAATGTACCCAGACTTTGTTTCCTGGAACTTTATGGCCATGTGGGCAGGATTTGGAAATCTGTGTGTCATATTTATTTTGAAGTGTAAACTTGCTTTTGTTTACTTCTCAAATTTGTTCTTTATCAAGTAACAAAAGGTTTCCTTTCAGTTGCACAATGTGTCCTAAATCATTCACTCAAGCAGGAATTCTACAGACTCATGTAGCCGCTCACTTGGATCAAAGAGCTTTTCCATGCTCTTTATGTGGTAAATCATTTCGCCAGAAATCTCAGTTGCGTCTTCATGAACAGAGGCATGCTGGCTTGTGGAAATATGAATGTACACTTTGCCCATCAAAATTTCTTACAAAAGGTAAAAAGTATTTAATGCAATTATCTTACTTTATTATATAATAAAGAATTAAGTGCTCTGAAGGATTTGATGGAACATTATATTAAATATTACTCAAATTTAGCAATGTTTACATAATTTAAAAACACAACTCTTTTGAATGTTTTATGGTGAATCAAAGTAAGAGGGTAAGGCAATATGTACCTGTTCTCAATGTTAATAATTATTTATTTATTTATTTATCGCAATATTCGGACAATTTGTACATTAATGTACAAAATTTAGAAATAAAATACAAAAAGTATGTGCAAGTAACTCTGAATCAAAGAACTATATAAATATAGAAAGAAAGAATATAATTAGTAAACATATTTGCAATAACAAATTTCTACCCAATAGATATAAAATTATTAAAATTCAAACATTCTACTACTCGCAACCAATAAAAAAGACTCAGGATTATTATGAAACATGTTAGTTAATAAAATATTTGTCAGCGTACACATGAGGTTTACAGGGTTGTTCGCTGTATATGACTTATAAAATTTTAAGTCAAAAATATTATTTCTTGAGTTGAAAGGTGACTTATAGACATACACAACAAAAAGAAACATACAATTCAAATCACCTCTAATCAACTTGCGCAAAAAGATCAGATCATTCAGGGAGTTTTGGGATTTAAGAGAAGGAATGTTAAGCCTTGATGCTATGTGTGCATAAGTGTGGTCTATGAAAGGATCCTATAATCCCATGCATTGAGCGACAATGCTGAAAAATGTATGTTGCACTGTATTCTTACTCGAAATATGGTTGCTAAAAAATGGAGACCATACAACAAAGGAGAACATCAAAATGGGTTTAACTAACATAAGAAAGAGCAATTTTACTGTCATAATTGAATGAAATTCATAACAGATGCTCTTTATAAAATCCAAGATCTAGTTTGATTTATTTACTGTGTACTGGATATGTTTATTAAAAGTCATACCAGAATCAAATATCATGCCCAGGTCTCTCATGGATGTGATTCTAACTCAGTGGAGTTCATTTTATAATAAAAATTCTCTACTGATCTAGCTCTGGTAAAAGTTATCAACTTACATTTCTTGATGTTGAGAAGAAGGTAATTTGTAATGCACCAATCAATCAGAACATTCAGTGCTCACTCCGAGAGAACCCTGACTTCGACTGATGGAATTCTCAAGAAAAGCTGCAGAACAGGTATTGAACTTCATTGATTACCTCACAAATGCCGTTAATAAAAATATTAAGCAATAGAGGACCCAAATGAGAGCCTTGTGGAACACCTAATGAAACTGCAATAGGGCCAGAGGTAACACCACCATATGAGACCAACTGCATGTGATCAGATAAATAACTGCGGAACCAACTTAACAGGGGTCCAAGTATCCACAGGTATTCAAATTTGTGCAACAAAATCACATGAATAACAGAATGAAAAGCCTTACTAAAATCAGTTTAAATACAGTCAGTCTCTCGATTACATCCCATCCCTTCGTGAAGAATGTAAGTAGAATAAGTAATAAGATTCAACTCAATATTTCTGCCTGGCATGAAGTCAAGCTGTCTCTCAGACAAAAGTGGATAAATAACTTTGGCAATCTTAACAACAATCAAAGATTCAAAGAGCTGTATCACACTCAAAATTGATATTGGTCTGTAGTTAGTTGTATGTTTGTCACATGACTTTAAAAAAAAGGTAAGATAAAACAGAATTTCCTCTCTCAGGGAAATCTTCCCTCATCCAAAGATAAGTCAAAATTTTCAAAATCTGTGAGATGATAAATTTACAATTCTTTAAGAAAATAGTTGTAATGCCATCTGGCCCAGTATTAGACTTTATATCAGGTCTAAGAGTTTATACTTACCTAAAATATCAGATATTTCAGTTTCACTCTCGAATTCTATCAGACACTGCACATCAAAGTCCTCACAATTAAAATCCAACAATGATTTCGATTGATGATTATAAAAAGACGATAAGTAATCAGCAAAACCTTTTACAAAAAAATTTTTTCGTCGTTAAATGTAGAAGAATCACAATACATCACACTTTGTAAACCTCTACTATCCCTTTTAGAATTAACGTAATGCCAAAAATTTTTCAGATCAGATGTGATAAATGTACTTAGGTTGTTGTTTAAAAGAGCAAAATCTCTCTCGGCTATGCTTTTACAATTTGTCCTCAATTTACAAAACTGTGTAGTAAATAGATTTATATTTCTTATAAAGGAAATAAGGAAATGAATCAATTTTTTGTCAATTGTTTTCTTTATGTCACCACTTAACCACCAGGGAAGTTAAGAGTTGATAACTCTTCTTTTGAGTACTAAATGATCAAAATACATATAATTATGGAAATAAAACTAAGACACAGCTACATTTTAATCACGAATATTTGACAAGACTGGAGTAAAAATCACCCAAATATAACTATTGAATGGTAGTCTGCCTTTGAAAAGTCATAATCCCATCTTTCACAATCAACAATGGCAGGATGCATTAAAAAAGTACAATAAAAAGAAAGTGGTGGATGATTAACAGCAGCTGACACAACCGACTCATCGACACATAACTAAAGTACCCTTGAAATTGGTGAAAAATAAGTCCAAGGTTACATTTTTCTTATTTGTAGTCAAATTCTTCTGAAAAAGATCTAAAAAGCAGATTGTGTCAGCCAGTGCTATCGCACAAGTTCTTTCACACAAAATATCAAAAATAGGGTAATCGTCAATAGTAATAGTCAATTGGGCTCCAATCTCACGTGTGAGAGGTTGAAACCGCCAAAAATCATCCACTGAGACTGGGCACTGCAGAGCCAAGCTCTCTAGTCTAGAAAAATGTGACAAAATATTTCATCTGTAGATAAGGTGGAAATAAACAAATGAGAACACCACCACCTGTATTAATACACTTTCGGTCATTTCTATAAATTATAAAATCTTTCAAATTAAATTCAGAGCTCAAAATCTCTAGTACCAACCATATCTCAGTAAACACAATGATGTTCATCATCTAGCATATAGCTAAATTTTTCAATCTCTCTAATTTTAGTTCTAACATTTTTGTAGTAAATTTTCCAATTGTCCTGTGTCAGACTTTTTTGTGTTTAAATTTGATCCTTTGGAGCCTCATAAGTCAACAATTTTTAGCTGTCCATTGATATATTTGATGGTTTTCACTCTACCTTTTTGTTAACAACATCCAACTCTTCTCTCAATTTCTCAAGATGACTTCTTTGAAATAATGTTAAGTCATTCAATAATGTTAAGTTATTCCTGCCCCTAGCAACAAGATATCCAAATCCGAATTTAAAAAATGGCTTTAACAGGACTTTATACATTTTAATTTTGCCCATATTGTAATCAATTATAACAGCAGTCTTCCATGAAATTGCTGTCTGAAGTTTGAATGTTATTGGGGTATTTTTAGGATGCTGAAATCAAATTCAAAGCGAGAAAGTTTCTATCGCATACAATTTAATTTTTGTTTAATTTTATTTTATTTTCCATTTAGCATAATTTTCCTATGCACAAAGAGTAATTATATAAACTGCAGTTCTTTACCAAGTGTAGTTTTATGATGCCAGGATCTGAAAACCAAATTATTTAGAATGCTCTTAATGTGTTGATAGTAAATAAGAAGGCACCCAATGTTTCTTATCTGATATGGTGCGAGCATGTTAGAAAGCGAAATAACATGCACCATTACCGTTATGCTATGTAGATAGCTACTCCTTGGTGACAGACACCTTCTTACATTATTTTTGTGAAAAAGTATACATCCCATCTTGGTTTCTTTCACATTGCATTAGTGTGTGAGATTTGGAAAATAAATCGGTTTCAAGCTGCATTGTGGAGTTGAAAGTTGTGAGTTTGTAGTTTAGTATGAAACTATTTACCATGTCCCATCATTCAGGTATAAATGATCCAGAACACTTTTGTTATATATGTGTAAGCAGAGGGTAATGTAGAGACCAAAGTAAACCTGGGGCATCCCACAAAGTATGCAGAATATGCACTGAATATCTTCATCTTTGGGTCAAAGGCAAAAGAGCGTTGCTATCTTTTGGAATACCTATGGTTTGGAGAGAGCTGTTAAAGTATAATAACAAATTGTACTTCTGTTCGGAGGATGTGAAGAGCAACAATTCTAAAAATGAGAAGCAAATTGTATATCAAGTTGTTCGGTCTGTCATTTTACTTGTCCCCCATGGGTATAATGTACCAATCCTTGTGCAACCAGAAAATATTAGACAGTTTTCATCTGAATCTGATGTAGAAGTGATGGAAATTGAGACGAGTGACAATGATTATCTACCCAGGAGCATCTGCTACAGAACGTGGGTATTTTATCTACAGTGAATTAAATGACTTTGTGAGGGTTCTTGCCCTCTCTAAAGAGTTAGATGAGTTGTTGGATTCTTGTTGCCAAGAAAAAATCTGCTTTGTCCAAAAGCATCATTCTATTGGTTTAGACAACGTAAAATAGAGTTTAAATCCTTTCTCTCCTAAGGTGGCTACCTTGTACATTGCAATAATGTGAAGAAACTTACGCTAAATCTGGACTTCCAAACTATGATCCAAATGAGTGGAGCCTGTTCATTGATGCTTCCAAGCGAAGTTTAAAGGGTGTTCTCCTTCATAATGGAAGGGTGATTGGTCGCATTAGCATTGATGTTATTGCGAGCGAACTACAGTGAGCACAACTAGCAACTTTGAGGTGATTTTAAAGTTCTTATTATTCTGCAGGGACAACAATCTTGTTTTACCAAATCTCGTTGCTTTCTGTGCCTGTGGGATAGCAGGGCATGAGTTGATCACTCGACTTAGAAAAACTGGCTACAGGCTAGTGTATTTGTTTACAATAAGAATCAGAAATGTACATTAAGACCATTTTTCAAAATAGGCAACATGTGCTTGGTCCATCATAACATCAGTGCTCTGATACCCTCAGAAAAATTGATTTTCAGAAAGTATTTCAAGCCATGAATGCTGTACTTCCTCATCTCTAGGTCAGAAGCAAATCTTTGGTCTTTTATAGCATTTTTAAGCTGACCAAACAGATTGTAACTGGACATGACAAGATCAAAATTGTATCCAGGTTGCTCCGACACCTCCAAATACAGATTTTGAAGAGTTTGGGCATCAATCAATGGATGCACTTTGTCTTTTGACAATCCATCTTGGTGCTCTCTTGTGCAGAACGTGACTAATGTGCACTTGCAGTGGCGCATCAAAGCACTCATTTCTCCAAAGTATTAGCATTCACCCCGTTCCCCCAGCCCAGCCCAGCCCCGCCCCGCCCCGCCCTCACCCCTTCTCTTCCCTACTGTTACTTGTAATTTTCCAATTTCCTACTACTTCCTTGTTACTTGTAATTTTCCAATTTCATCTCAGTCTGTTTTATTGGAACATTATGCGCATTTCCAAGACTCAATGAATAAAACTATTTGTATAGTAAGATTTGAATGTTTTTAATTACAAAAATAAGTATTGCATAAAGTCTGCCTTATTTTATGTACATTGAATCTAAGCCTGCAACAAAATACAGTATTTTTACAATTAAGAACATACATGAAGTATTCCCTTCATGTTATATATTGTTTTTGCTAGAATTGAATGTTGACTATCAACAGTTGGCTGTTTGATCTCTGATTGGTTTATATTTTATATTAAGTATTCTTTCATATTCAGAAAATTACAACTTCCAACCATTTAACACACATACATTGTAGAATTCTTCTTTGTGCTTGACAGTTGAGCCTCAGGAGAGGTAGAAGTGTCGTGCATTTCTGCCATTGCCACGTGTGTGCTGCATAAGCTTGCACAGGTAATCTGATGTGAATATCAGATATCAAGTACTATACTTTTTAGCCCAATGTCTGAATTTCTTTATGAAGGTGAAATTGTGATGTTGGGCATCATAAATCCTTGACAGAAACTCCCAGTTCTCTTTCTCCTTCAGTTATTTTTTTAGAGTTGGCAGCAACAAAGCTAGTTGCATTACTGGAATTGCTGGTGCTGCTTGTCAATAAGAGATCTCTCATGATGTTATCACATGACTCTCTCAAGTCAAGCACAAATAAGTTTGGTACAATGTAAAATAATTGCTGTTTGCATTACACTCAGATAGCAGTCTTACAATCTATACCTCCCTTTCATTCCGAACAGGTCTTCTTTCTCTCTCCGTCCCCCTCTCCTCTCTTTTCACTTTTAGGTGTTGTTCTGGATTTAACTACCCAATATATTACAAAGTTCAAGATGGATTACCATTACTCTATAAATTGGTAATTTATCCAGTAGAAAGCAGTATTTAGAGATAAAAAGAAATTTCTCATTTGAGCATTTAAAACAGTGCTTTGTAAGTGTCCAAATAGCAGAAAAGAATTAAGAAACGTACTTGTAGAAACACAATAAAGTTCATTGTATTCAAGTCATGATTAAATCTTGTTGTACAGCTAATTTTGAAACTAAATTATTTGTCCGTTCAATGAATATAACTTCAATATATTATTAAAACATTATGTTTACAATTTTAATCTTTTTATTCAATTGTTATTCCCTATTTTGATTGTAAATATTTGTTTATATGTATGTATATTTGTAGGTACTTGTTATTCCATATATACTCCGGCCCTTCTTACGAGCTGTTATTTTCCAGGTGATATGCAAAGGCACAAAAGAATTCATACAGGGGAACGTCCATTTACTTGCAAATTATGCCAAAAGACCTTTACCCGGCAGCAGTCTCTGAACGAGCATATGAATAGGCATTATGGACTTAAACCATACCGTTGTAAATATTGTGAGAAAGGTTATGTAGAAATGTCTGCATGTTATAAACACATTAAGGCTCATGAACGTTCTGGAAGCACTGTTCCAGTACAAAAGCAGCATTCAGATTCTTCTGCTGAGAATGCTGAAGAGGAAGGTATTTCTTGGGGTTCATTGAAAATATTTTCTAGTTTCCCTAGTTCCCTCGTCTGTGAGATATAGAGATTGTGTGTTCTTTGTTACAGATATTGCTGGAATATTTGTGAACTCCTCAAGCATCCACAGGAGTGATCAAAACAGCTTCTTCATTGAAGAATTGATTTGAAATATTTCAGAGATATTTAAATGGTGTCTTTTGCATGAGTATGCATTTCTGAATAATGTGATATGATTTTGAATCTTCATTTAAAGATTAGATGTGATGTGAGTGACTGTATAAATAAGTAACTATAATCTCTGGAGATGTCAAGCTCTGAGAAACACTGTTTTTATTTTAACAGATGATGCAAATTTGTTGTACGTGTGAGTGATATTCAAGGCATTTATGTTATGATATTTGCGATGTATTGCAGACTTACCTTCAAATTAACATCAAAGAGACCAGACCATTTATTAGAATTTAGAATTGAAGACTTGTAAATATAATCAGAAAAGAACAGTATGCTTTTTTTCCTAAAGGTGGCTCCTCACAGTCGTTAGTCAGCAAGTAACAAGTAGTGTGGAGTGAATTTAATGAATCCTGAGTAGTGTGGATGAGTTGCTTGCTATTTGCTTAGTGACAAACATTTGGTGCTCGCCCTACCCACCACATGTCGGTCTATAGGACACATCAAAGGTAGTGAACATTTGTCAAACACATCAGCTGGGGGTTCAGGATTAGGTAAGCAGTAGCTCACTGTTCAGCGAATGCCGAAGGTTTGGAGCTGCCTTTAGAAATATTTCTTTCCTTATTTATACTTGTTTTGACCAGAACAAGGTTTTATTTATCAGAAAGTACTGCATGCACATTGCAATCTGTTGCAATCTTTGGCTCTCATTGACTCATAGGGAGGTTTATGTTCATTTCAAGACTATTGAAAAGTTCATGAGGTCCAGTAGTTGGCCACACAGGCAGTTTTGTGTATTTATTTCCATAGACGTACTTTTCTTACAGTTATACATGTGAATCATTTTAGCAAAGGGATAAATCCTTACATTCTTATTACTTACTGGCAGATATGACTTGAGCATTCATATTTAATGGTACTCAATTCATACTCAAGGAAGCAGGGAAATTTCGTAAATGAGTTGTCCTTTGGGAGACAGGGAAGGTAGAATAAATATTGCAGTATGCTCCATAATGACTTACTCGCGATGATGCAGGAAATTATATTATAGATTGAATTTTCCATGGGTACTTTCGTTACCCCCTTGGTATTTGAAAGAAACAAAAATACTCGGGAAGTTGAAGGGATGGCATCACGCCTAATCAGTGATTGAACCAAGAATTTTCAGAGGGAGGAGGGTACATGTGTAGATCAGCTGACTTGATGTTCGTATTTTTCTCATATACACATTATTTCCCTTCAGTCCTGAAGAACGTGTATGAGTCCTTCCATGTTAAATTGCACACTCTCAAAACATCACTCTTTTTTAGTGACTTCAAAAGCTTTTATGAGGCCGAGGGTTGAAAAAATTAAACTTACGATGTAATTTCATGTGATGTAAATATAATTTTTGTAATCATATTATTTAAATATTTAAAATACGTTTTAATTTTTAAAATGAAAATTTTACATTAGGCTGACGCATTAATTTTTAAAAAATATTTGTGTATTTCCACATGAATGTTGCATAGATATGCCAAATTTGAAAGTGGGACATCATAAATTACATTAAAAAAATAGTTTGTTCACTCAAGCACTGAAGGCAGCTTGCTAATGACACAACGCATTGTGCTTTCTGTAATAGTCTCACTCAAAACACTTTTCAAGTAAGATTATGACAGTGTTAACAGACATAGTTTTCAGATGGGAGCAGTTCAGTCACTCCCATAAATATTTTGCCACATTACATTTGTTTAACCCATTGACTGCTCTAGATGAGATAATACGCAAAATATTTCCGTGCGTGGTAACCTCTGAACTAATTATTACACTGTCAGGTTGTCACCGGGAGCCTCTGCACAAGTTCAGTTATGTAGACATTTTCGACTATAGTCAGGACTTACTGATAACTGAGATGTCTTGCACAGTATCTATGAGGAAGCAATCTCAGCTCACAATGGGGCCTGTAGCGACAACAATGACACAAGACACGTAACATACTGTCGGTTGGACCTTAGCACTTAATGGGTTAACATTTTTATTTTATCACAATAAATTTAAGTTGTAATGCAATAGAACATGAAACAAAATAAACTAGTGCACCTTGAAACCACAATAACACACTCAATTTTAATAAAATGAAATAACCTTTTACTATAATTAAACAAATACCAATGACTTTACAAGACCCTCAAAAATATTCATTCACATAGAATAAATTAACACAAAAAAACTTATTTAAACTTAAACCCCCAATATATTTACAATACAAAATTAAAAGTTCAGTATTTTGTAGAGTCTCTTTTACTTTTCATTTCCTCTTTCAGTGGTCTGGGCATACTGCTGATTATTTTCTTCAAATAAAGTGGGTGTGACTCCTCCCATTCTTCTTTCAGCAGGTCAGTTAAATTTTTTTACTGAAATTGATGGTCTCAATCTCAGTGCTTCCTTCAATTTACCCCATACATTTTCAATGAGGTTAAGGTCAGGTGATTGTGGTGGGGTCTCCAAAACTTTTGAGTGTTTGTAAAGCAGCCATTCCCTCACGATGTGTACCTTGTGTTTGGGATCGTCCTGATACAGTTTGAATGAATTCAGAATCCCAAGTTTTTGGGTCAATTGGTGTAAATTGTTCTTCAGAAGGGTTAAGTAATTTTCCTTTGTCATCGTGTCTTTGATGAAAACTTATTCATCTACACTAGATGATGCAACACCTCCCCACACCATTGCCTTTCCTCCTCCGTGTTTGATTATGTACTAGATGTTTTTGGCTTTCAACTCTTCTCAAGACTTGTGCCACACTAATGTTTTTCCATCAGATCCGAAAACATTGAATTTTGACTCATTAATGAACAAAATATTTTCCCAACATGTACTGTCTGTATTTACGTGAGCTTCTGCAAATGCCAGTCTCTTTTTCGTATTAACCGCACTAATGTAAGGTTTCCTTCTTGATCTTCTACCACCGTATTTGTTTCTTTACAGTGCTTCTCTAACAGTTTCTACTCCCACCTTTTTCCCACAGACATCAAGTGCTGCAGCTGCAGCCTTATAACAGGATCCTATTAATTTATCCAGAATGTTATTTAATTGGATTGATGATAATGCAGAGAACAATACCTTTATATTTTTAACATCGCTAAACAAAACTTAGAAAGAGGTCACTTTGAAATAGTGATATAATAAATAAATAGTAAAATATGGAAAGAAAATACAGTTTCATTTCGTTATGAAACAGTCAATAAACAATATTCTTTGTGAAGTTAAGTAAAAGAATTATCAATTTATTTAACTTACTCATATCATTGTATCACATACTCTTTTTCATATAAATATTCTATCCGTTTAAAACTAAATTGACTCCATTTGACACTTTTCAATTTGAATTCAATAGATTATAAGGGTCATTTGTATATATCCGGCATGGAGTAAGACCTGAAATGATATTTCTATTCATTACTCTGTGGAAATATATTGATGCTAATCATGAAATTCTGATTGGTACGTGCCTGTTGGGTGATGCTCTAGTCGACACTGCAACAAACTAGCACATAGACATTTCTATTGTACTTAATTTCTCAGAATCATTTCGGTGTCCCACTTTGAAATTTACCATACTTATGTAGAACTTTTTTGAGTTTACAATGGTATTTTTTTTTCAAATGTTTAAACTATTGAATTTTGAGAGAAATTTAAAAATAAAAATTATATAGGCTAAAAACACATTTTTTACAAATTTAATATATACATCAAATGAATGAGCAACTTGTTCTTTGATGTTGAAAAATACTAAAATTATGTCACAATGACAACACGAGATAAAAATGATAAACTTTAGCGATGTGACCATTTTTTGGAAAATTTTCAATATTAATATCATCTCAAAAAATAGAATTTGGGAAAAAATAAAAAACACGTTTCATATTTTTGCTTTTACTTTTCACAGGAGAAACTGTTTAAAATGTAGGTCATCAAGGTCAAAGTTTCCTTGAATTTGTGCAATTTGATATGGAATGACCCATATGTGAAGGTTTACTGTATTCTTTTGCTTGGAGGATATGTGAATGAAGTGATAGAATGTCCTTTCATTAGACACAGGGTTAGTTCTTTATTTTCTCTTTGGCAATTTTATTTATGTACTTCCCAAATGAGTGTTATAAATTGATGCAGTATGGTGATAAGCAGTAAAATATAGGCCTCAGAAGTGCTTATATGGTGCATCTACGCTTCAGAATATTTTTTTTTACAATTCCTGAAGTAATGTTATTTGAAGGAAAAAGTGACAGTGACTGGCATTGCACTGGACTGACAGTGTTGGCATCAGGAACTTGAATGAATTCAGTGGACGATGAAAATTATCCTTCCGAATCTGTCAAAACCAAGATGAATGTTCTTTGAATAATAGATACATTACAATCAGAAACTAAAGGCACTTTAGCAATCACATTGATGGTGAAACAGAAAAGTTTTATTGATATTCATTCTAAAGTATTCTCAGCATACTTCACGAATTTGCCAGGTGATTCCGAACTCCCGCAGAAGAGAGAATCTCAAACAAATGGAACTGTTTTAAGTGAGATGCAGTGTGAAAATGAATAGAAATTGTTGCGAAGATACTGTTACTCAGTAAAGGGATGATAAAAAGCAAAATGTTTTGAAAATTACTACTCACCTCACAAAAACACCTCAAGGAAACACTGAAGGATGCCTTTCGTTTGTTTCAAGGCAAATGAAAGTAGATTTGAAAATAAATGGAAAGAACACTAGAAAAATTAAGTGAAATAATTTGATCAATGTAGAGTTTGATGCATTCGTGAAAGTTTTGCTCTACCCAGGAATGTACGTCTTGGAATGCTTAGGCTCATGAATGTAAGCATCCAACATTTCAAGATTTGAAGACAAGACTATTTTGATGTAGGGTGAACACAAGACAAAGGCAGCAAGCAGACTAGTGTTCAGTTTGATCAAGTCTCTCTTCACAGACATGCTTACGAAATGCATACAATTCTCATAAGTAGGGGCTGGTTTTGATTACCTAAAACATCACCAAAAATGATCAATAAAATGGTTTTAAAATGCTCAAAAAGCAAAGAAAAATGTAAAAAATGTGATCATATCAATGAGTTCTGGTGAACAACAAGCTGTTGGATACGTTACTTATGATCGAGGCTTCTTCTATTCATTCAAGTCAACTCAGCTTTCAAACTTTTACTTTAGACTGTTGTTTATGAGAAAATCTCTGCCTTTAGTGATCCCAAAATTGGCTTAACTGCCAATGGTGCTGACAGGCATCACAGGAACCCTCGATTACATAATCAAAATGGCTGGCTTTACAACTTCTGAGCAATGAAATCGAATAGGCTACCAAGTGTAGGTACTCAGGACTTCTGCAGAGAACATGCATCTCGTAAATATTATTTTAAGCAAGACTATTAAAATCGTTTAAATCAGTGAAAAATGCATTAAAATTTATGGGAAAAGGTAAAAAATGATTTATTATTCAAAATTGATGAAAAATGAAAGAAAAAAAATTATGTAAAAAATAGATAATTTCCTTTTGTCCAATCAAATGAATTTGTATACCAAACAGAATTTTTCTAAAGTGAAAAGGAAAAAATGACATTTTATTAAAATCCACTCCCTACTCATGAGGGTACCACTAGTATTTGTAAGCTTCTATTGCAGATTCCTAGATATCCAACCAACTGGTAATCTACAAAATTAAAATATTTTGAATTTGTGAAATTATCTGTAGATATAGTTTTATATATTTACCTGAATGTAAGACTAGGCTTTTTTCCTAAATTTTTTTGAATTGTTGTTTTAAGTCTCAAAACTGGAAAATTTTGACAAAGCCATATGTTGTGAAGATGATAAAAATATCACGCATGTATATAATACGAAGAGGTGGTAGATTATAGTAAATGCTAAAAATGCGGAATGTTACCAAAAACTGAAAAAAATAGTAATTGCATGTTTGACAGCCGGTGCATTTTATATGTTTCAGAGGATTTTTAATAAAATACAAAATCTATCACAAAATGCAAAATTGGGTACAAAGTGTAAAATAGTTGTAAAACTACAATACATTGCATTTTTTTGTTTCCTTCATGCTCACTCTCAGGAATGAACTAGGGATGCTACATCGCAACAACACATCCATGTTTGAAAACTTTTAATTTGAGAGTGACTGTGTTTATTAATTTATAATTACAATTTATTTATCAAAATAAAGTTAAAAAATAGTTCTATAAAAAGAAAAATTTAAAACACTGATCGTGCAAGCCTGAGCACTCAGTCTTCTCAAGAGTTCCCAGCTTCCTTCGTTCTCTATAAGGAAGTCATAATAAAAAGACAAAGCCCTATGCCTACGATGCTATTCTTACTTCTTACACTTTTATATTTGTTGAAGTTCACAAAGGAAAATGTTAAATTAGTTTTCCTATTTCCTGATCTTAATGGGAAAATCTGAAAAGCCTCAAAATTGTTTTTTTATCTCAGAGTCTCCTCCCATAATAGTAATTTTGTCTACAAATGCTACAAAATGCTAATTCTTGATTTTTATAATGCTATAAAAATGCTTACGCCTTGATTTCAAATTAATGTTCATGGAATTTTAAAAAAAATTTGGAATGTTAAATTCTACCATTACTAATAATACATAATTCATATATTCATGGACATATTCTCAACATACACCATGTATTTTCCAGGCGATTCAGGCCCTTTTTTTGCTCTCTGAGAAGAAAATCTCAAAACAATGCATTGTATCAAGCAAAATGCAGTGAATGTAATTCATTGTTGAAATTTTATAACAGAAAGAGATGTTTAAAAAAATATTTTCATACCAAAAACTTCCCAAACGTGGAAACTTGGCGTTATCTCCAACATTAACTATGAAATGGTGGAACAGAGATGTAGGAGTTCACAGTTCACGAATCTATCACACAAATATTAAACGATGCGAATTTCAAGTATACTCTGTTAAAGACTGAAATGGTTAAAGAATTAGTATCCATGAACAGGGTGGAACAGTAGAAGAGAATGAGTGAAGACATTAAGTTTTAATATTCTCATCAACATGACAATTTTCTAGTCAATTAGACAATTTGCAATTTTATTGACTAAATAGTAAAGAATTAGTTTAAAATTTTATAAACTCTCTCGAGATCTCTTCAAAATTTGGGAGTCATCTTATATTGGGAGTTGACTTATATTTGTGTAGAACAGTATTTATTCAAAACATCCAAATTCTATGAGGTTGTCAAAAAGTATGGAAACAATATTTACTTATTGTATTTCAAAACTAAAAATAATTTTAAAAGAATTATAAATTATTTGTTTACTTACTTTGACATTTCTTTAACTGTATATAAACTTTAAGGCATAAAGACATAAATATCTTACAAAATTGAACCCATTTTATTTTCATAACTTTATTTTAAAACATTAGGGCTTAAAAGGCCCCATCTGCAGTGAGGGTGATGCAGTGCACTAGTGGGTTAAACAAGTTCCCTTACCATTGACAAAACCTCATAAGTGCGCATCTGCTGGGTAGGGAATTACCTCATAGACCTTCATCAAACAAATTTAATATATATAATATTAAATTATTTACTATTATGTATTTCTCGGAAGCAAAGTATCCTAGGACCTAAAACAGGTTTTTGTTATCCTCAAGGAAAGAAAACTAGTTGTGCATCTTACGCCACAATCCACAAAATGAGATCTTTTGGATATTCTGCTACATTTTTGGAGAGTTCCTCCACATTGTACAATGAAACCTGTGTAGTGACATCAGAAAAGTTTGAAGTCAGGTTCCAGTATGAAGCTATTTTAACGATAAAAGTAAAGTTCTTTCAGAAAATATGCTTCATTTAAGGAAAAAGATTCAGTGAATTGAAAATGGAACATTCTTGTTCGTTTTTAAACTTTCATTTCCCGAAAAATGGCTTTCAAATTTGGGGAAATATGTGCCCCTCTGCTCATTAGATGGTACATTTATGTTAATTTGCAAACCTGATGGTATTTTTAAATTTATTTGTTGAGAAACACCAAAAAACAACCTCTGTGTTTTGTAATGTAAATGAACTTTGAAGCGTGATAATCAGATTATTATTGTCGGAAATATTTTTTTAATGTCTTCAAATCTGGGAACTGACAAAATTTGTGCCAAATAAATGCATATATCTGGATCATTAAGCCAGAAATGTCTAAATGTGAGAAGAATGTGTTAATTGATTACTAAAAGAATGTGGTAATTGATCCTAGAAAAGTGTTCATGTCAAGATAAAAAAAAGATATTCATTTTTGTTGAGCATACCGTACAGTTTCAGTAATTATAACTATTTTAGCATGCAGACATGTTCATTTCTGATGAAAAAACATCAGTAGGCTTTGTCACTATAACCAGAATATTCATGTCATTTATCAAAACTATTCTAAATTAGTTACTATCAATAAACACATCAGGATGACAGTCAACTCTCATTTCAAAGAAGGGAAGTTATGGAAAATGTATCATAATGTGACTCTGAAACAGATTAAAGTCCTTGTTTTTTCATTTGTCACTATTTGTAACCATAGAATAAGTTTTCTGTGGAACATAGTATTGCAATGATGTAAACAAGAAAAGGATGAATCATTAGCAGTGAAACCTTTTTGAAAAGTTTGAAGCTGATTTTCTGTCAGTCGTAATTTAATTGATGTAATAGAATGCACTTTGTTTTAGCTATCAGCATATAGCTAGCAAATCAAACATGAATTTCGCAAGAACAGTACAAAAAAAGTGCCCAAGTTTATTAATGAAATAAATTCTAACTGTGGATTATTGGATTGGAAGAAGTACTTTGAGAATCACATTTTGTATACCAGTAAAGACGTACAGTAATTCGCTATGAACTTGAAAATTGATTCACTGCTAAATTGTGAAAATGTTCTCATAAACATTTCTCTAAAATATTTTTCCCATTGACAAATAAAGGGTAGCAAATATACATAGTAAGTAAATGTCACATTGATTTATCTAATAATCCTTCCCTTATGTAATGGAGCTATGAACTGCATTCAAGGCCTAAATATCAAAATTGAAGTATGTTGACAAACTGGAAACATTTCTAACAATTTAAAAAGAAGAGTTTGCATCTGATTTTCTGAAATTTGCACCAAAAGTTTATTTTAACAATTCCCGTAACCGAGATTATGGAAAAATATTTTTTAAATTGAAATTTAGAAAAATATATAAAAAGTTATTTCAGATGCTTAGGGTCACACTGAAATTTTCTGTTATGGCATCCATGTCAAATGAAAGTAAAAACATTATTGTACCAAATATTGACAATTTTGCTAAAAAAAAAAAAAAAAAGATAAAGGACCCATCATTTAAGATTGTCTCCAAGCCCAAAATTTGGAGATATTTTTTGAGAAAATTTTGAAAATATTGGAATTGCTTTTAAAATGCTGTGAAAAGTAAAATATCCATTTCAAATTCTTGGGGTTGCGAATGTCAGTCCGATCGATAGAACATATCAATTATTGATAAAAATAATTTAAATGGTTTGAGCTATATCTTGTTCATGGACCGAAGACATTTTGAAAACATCTTACTTTTTGATATTAGTTACACCTTAAACATGTATTTCTGCCAAAATCTCAACATTGATTTTTTCAATGTTACATAACTTGCTCTACACTGTATGTATGAAGAGGTAAAAGTGTTAATGGTTTGCCAGAAGGCAGTAATTAACAGTGCTTCACCACTGTAGGTGCCTTGAATCCAGCTATTTCTACAATTATGTATTCCAAAAGAGAAAGATCCAACTAAATATACAATTGATTCATCTTGTTGAAAGGAATCTAACTGTTGATCACCTCTGTAGGTGCCTTAAAACCCCCAAAATCCAAATACCTTTTGTGAATTGTCTTTGAATGTTCTGAAAAGAACAAAAAAAGAAATATTGGTTCCCACCAGCATATCGAGACTTGACAAATGCCTCTCACTTGCCCTAGTGAACATTGCTGGACTGGAAAAGGTCTTAACCATGTGTGACAGACAACACATTACCCAATTACTGTGTTTAGAATAGTAGTCTATCAATGTATTTTTTAATGTGAATTTTATGTAATATAGAAATGTACCATATCTTATCCCACAACAAAAATCCCTAACTGGCCAGTATTTGTAAGAAATATTACTATCCATTATAAGTCACTGTTAATATAGCAAGTCTAGTTGCAGATTTGAATTCATCTTCGGCAATTGTTTTATGAATTTATTCAGAAATATTGAAATGTTTTTTTATTTTACGTTACAAAACAAAAATGTTCCTCAGCTGGATTCGACGAATCTTACAATTATATTCCCTGATTACAAAATGCTTACCTCTTTATTTCTGGATCAACATGTGTCTCTTCTGAAGTCTATCGTATGTTTAATGTTACTTAAATTGTGTGTCATCATTGTTCTGTTCAGTTACCTTATTTGAAATGTAAAAGTCTGTATAGTAACTAGTTCATGGTAAGGTAAATGTGTGAATGGTTGCCTGTGTATTTTTATGTAACCTTATGTTATTTTGTGATGTGGCTTATGTAATTTCATAAATAAGTATGTAGAATACAACTACTGTGGGGTATTTTAATACCAGAATGTATCTATACAATAAATGTTGGTTTTGCTCAGCACTGACAGTAGAGAAACAAAAATTGTAAGAAGTATTGTAGTTGTTAGGTGTCCATCAATGTTTGGAAAGGAAACAGCCATTGTTTTGTTAAACCTATCCAAGTCAAATAATGAATTACTAGTTCCATATTTTTAATAAAATATCAGTTCAGATTAAATTCTCAATTTTTGTATGTACATGAACACAAGTTAAAAAGGCATTGCAATTTTTATCATGTTTACCTTGTTATTGTTAAGAATCAGTTGCAACCTCTACTACTATCTGCACACATGTACTTAGATTCTGTTATGCTAAACATGAAGAGAGTGGTGTTTAACTATTTTGTCAGTCACTAGTGTTCCTTCAGTACTATCTACTATTGAAAATTCAAATCTTTTGCTTGTTTTCATATGCAGATACCTTCTTTTACACAGGATGAAAAATTTGTTATCAGAGGTTGCCATCAATACTCGGTACTTTCTTTCATTCTTGATTCAATTATTTATGGTTAAAAAGTGGAGATAAGGAAATGCAAAGCTCATGAACACTTGCACAGATAATACATGTCGTTACTGTTCATTTTGTGAGTAACAAGATCTTTTCTTCAAGTCTGCAGGACACATTTATTCATTCAATGGTGAAAATATTAATGCTAAGAAGAAGTGTTTTCAAATATTGATGCGAGTAATGATATTTAATTCTAATTAATTTTTATAAATGTAAATACCATTGCAGTATTGTTTTCCATTCCATAATCATGGTAAATAGTAGAGATATGTAGGAAAATAACATTGTATATTTCATAAAATAAAGTATTTTTTAATTTGTTACTGAGAAAAATATTCTAATTAATACATGTGTCCATGTATTTTTTTCATTTTTAAGTCTTACAATTAAAACATTAAAAGTTATATGTACTAACAGATACAAGTGGTGACAGGGAAATCCTGGAATAGCCAGAAATTCATTGAGAAAAGTGAAATTTTTTTTTTTTTTTGGAAACTTTTTGAAACTTTTTTTAATGAAAAATTGTCAATTCAATAGTTGAAAACAGCATGTACTTGATTATGCTATTCTGAGAAAATCGATTTCAAAATTTTGTGTCGAGTAATTTAATATTTATTCAACTCGAATAATATTAATACTATTTTATTGCTTATAGGCTTACAGAAAGTATCAAAAGTAATTTAACTCTTGAAAAGTTCATTTTGTACAATAATTGTTCTCGAGTAAATAAAAGGGTCACAACGAACGGCCCGCGCGGACTGGCTGGTGCACCTGTCATGAATCAGTGTTATCAATGACTAGCATATACAGAAATGTATGAAATAGCTGCACTATGACGAAACAGGCGTAAGTTGGCGGCAGATCGCGGACAGATTGTGAAATGTTTCCGAGTTCTGCGTGGAATGGCCAACCATTCCTCCCAATGTGGTCCGCGTGCCAGGGTTCGTGACTAAGCCCCGGTTGAGGCCAGTGTAGAGAAGCGAGGTGGGAAATTGAAATTTCTTTTCGGAATGCAGATATCCGGCGCTACTCACGTCGTTAGTTTCCTTGTGAACGCAGAGACGATATTTTAAGCTCCGTGTCGCTCGGATTTCACAGCAGATTGGGGTGTGGCGTCGGTCGCAGCCCCACACATTAGCAGGCAAATGAAATCCCCCTCCTTCCGTGCGACACTTGTTACTCTGCGCCCTGATCGCAACGCCGCGCACCACCTGCCATGCCTCCCATAGGGCCTGAGCGCCACGGGCAAGGGTGGCAGTGAATGGGATGAACGAAGTGTTGTGTATATAGTGCAACAAGCATGTAGGATGCGTGAATGATAAAATTACCAAGAAAAATGCGAGAACATTATATAGTGTTAAGGGAAATAATTGTTCAAGTAAGGCAGGCCAACGTACTTACGTATTAAGTGCACATTCAGTTAGTTTTAGTTAAGAAAAGCCGAACCCATCTGCTTAACCGAACATAAATGCCCACCTCCCCAGGGATATTGTGGGGGAAATGATAAAACAAAAGTATTCCTGATCTCCGGCGGTTCATCATAAATGCTACGGTGAGCGAAGTGAGGCTACGGGTTGGGGACTGACTCATCCGGTTCTTGCTCCAGATGGACTTGAGGCTACGTCATGGAGGGATTTATCCCGACACCCGACTTCGATTCTCACCTGGACAGCTGCTTCGAGCTGGCGGGGAGGTCCTACCCACTCTCCAAGGAATTTTGCGTTCCGGCGAGTCTGGATGCCAGCCTGAAGGCGCAATAGTGTAGCTCAAAAGGGATAAGGGTTGCAGCGAAAACGCAATGCCCGCTCTCGGGTGACTAAATTCCTCAGGTATGACGTTCAAGTGTATTTCGGCTTCTCGCGGTCCGTGAGCACAAATCACGTAGTGCGAACCCGGTCATCAATATTTTCGGTTTTTCAAATGTTCTTTATCGGAGGAATTAGTGACCATCTTTCAAAATCTTTCAAACGATGAAAAGAAAATGCATGGTGTGTAGTTGGCAGCAATTGGTCCGCTCTTAAGATATTGTACGAGTTCCGGAGGGTAATAAATGTAACTTAGAATCATCAAACACACTTCTTTCCTTGTTTGCATCGCTAATGGTACTCAAAAATCGAAAGCTCACTTCGATGTAATCAAGCCAAGCTTGTGTGAAATTATTCTTTCTTTTCTGCATTCACTGCAAGGCAGTGACGACTCGTGAACAAATGTTTAGGGTATGCAAAACAATACTGAACAGTGGCTGATTCCAGGGAAGATTCATTGGGCCATGACCCATTTCAATCCAATGTTTTTGTAATTTTACTCAATTTATTCAAAACAATTGTCTCATTGTTTTCATTACATTCGAATGAATTTTCATGAAGTTTATTTCCATAAGCTCGTGCAGATGTGATTTCAAGACAAGAGTGTTGCGAGTTTGTGTTACTCTGAAAACTACATAATGCAATATATTTGTATACTTGTGCAAATAAAGCTTTTATATTGTAGTGTTTGAGGCAAGCTCGGAACACCCACACTGCGTCGGCTAATCCAGAGATCACCGGAGCACAGGAGAGCCGAATAAGTTCTCGCCGAAACAGCGTTGTTAGTTGCTGCCAGGGGCAACGGCGGCAAACTTCTAACTTACGGAAAACGCCAAAGGGTTTGCCGTGACGTCACGCTACCCTTTAAATATCGGAGCAGCTGACCGATCGTTCTTCTTTCTGTACGAGACGAGACTAGAGCGGTTCGTATCGTAGAGCGAGCTCCGATCGAGACGAGATTCAAAGCGTTCGTCAATACGCATAGGCCGGCAATACGCCTGCACGATTCATCTGCTTACTGCAACCTAGCTTCTTCGAATTGTCGGTACCCTTCGATTTCTCGAAGGTTCCTCGAAACCTCGTTTTAAAAGCGTGAGTGGAAGCATCGCGCCGAAGCTGAGAGAGAAACTACACACGAGTATTACGGCTTCGGCCGTATCCCTCCGTCAGGATGGAGGCCGAAGAAACCGACGTAGGAACTTCCAAGACCAGTGACCAAGATGCAGAACTCACGCAAGTGACTACGTCCAAGCGCTCCCGCTCTCCTCATTCAAGTGCAACATCCCCTCCCCTTCCAAATCCCAAAATTCCTCCCACGAAGCACCTGAACGATGGTTTCACCTCTCCGAAACACCCTGCGCGAGCAAAAGAAAACCCAACCGTAGGCCCAATCCCTACCAGCGACTCATTTGAGCCACTTACCATCGAAAACCAATCTACCCAATCTAACTCTCCCCCTCAAACCAGTGCCCCAACCTATCATAGTCCTCAATAATCCATCACCACCCCTGACATCCAGACCCAGAATCGGCACAATTTTTATCTCCTGGGCAGATATCCTTGATGGAAAAGAATTAATATTAGAACTTCAAAAATGTACCAGTGAAGAAATCGAAGCAAGATACACCGAAGACAACCTGATCATCCCGTCCCTTGCCCACCAGAAACCACCTCACGACTCCACGAAATTAAAACTGAGCTAAATAAACGACAACTTATTTTCGGGTCCTCCAAACTACCATTACCACAGAGCTACTCCCGAAACCCGTGACAAATTAATCCTTAAAGGCCTCCCTTCCAAGCAAAATACCAACGAAATGCTCCAGGAAATCTAAAACCAAAATTTCACCTGCTTCCACCTATCAGAAATGATACGTCACAACCCCGACAAAACCACTACCAACCTAGGCATATACATAATGGAAGTTCCCAAACAACAAATACCACAAATCAAATCCAACCTTCGCTACCTCTGCCTGCACCGTGTCACCATCGAACCCTACAAACCCAACAACCGAATCCCAAGATGTACCAACTGCCAACTCTTCAACCATATCCGAGCCTACTGCCATAGAACCCCAACCAGTTGCTACTGTGGCCAACCCCATCCTACTGACAATTGCCCCAACCTATCGCGACCAGATTTCAAACCCCTATGCATTAACTACACAAATGAACACCCTGCCAATGACCCTCAATGCCCTACCCTCATCCACCACCAACAACAGAGAGAAGTCAATCTTCAAAAAATCCAACCACTTCGACAATCCCTCTCCAGCCGCAACACCGTCAACTTTCAACAATCCTCATTCCCATCCATCCCTCCCCAGCAGATCCTACGCACATTCAGTGACAAATCCAACTCCTCCATCACGAAACCCTCCACCACCTACCTCTGAATAATTATCCACCTCCACCGTCACAGATCTCAAAGAACTCTTCTCGCTTATAAAATCCTTTAATCTTTCTAAGCTTCTCCAATCTATTAAAGAATCCTTATCTTCAAATCCTCTGATGCACTGTCCAAATTAATCTCCGCTGGAACCAAACTGGGTGAACTCTTTTAAAGGGCCCCCTCTTCTCACCCTGTCATCTTAAGCCCCTGGAACTTCAACGGGAACCTATCTCATAAGAAGCCCTCTATTAAACAATTTCTGTGAAAAAACGATTTTTCAATCGGCATTTTTCTTATTTAAGAAACCTACCTTAAACCACACATTCCCTTCTTCATCCCAAATTTCACCACTTACCACTCTGACCCGCGGAGGCGGAACAGCCATTCTAGAACAAAACAACATTCCTCACACCCAAATAACCTCTCCACCCACTACCACCATTGAATCAACAATCAACAAATATCCTCCTCCGACTCACCCATAAACATTTCCTCAGTATACAAACCACCACACACGAATCTAGACACTGAAGACCTTTCACTTCTCTTTGCATCCCCCACTCCTACCATCATCGCCGGCGACTTCAATTGTAAAGACAGACACTGGGGTTGCCGAACTACCAACACGAACGGACGAATCCTTCACGGACGTCTAAACGACCACCCAGAAATTATCCTTCTGCCCTCCCCCGGAATCCACTCACCTTATCCAAGAAACCCCCCATGACATACTAGACATACTTCACAGCCACAATACCAACGTCACTGACCATACGTACGATATGAACTAACCACTGATCACCTTCCTGTAATTTTCTCAACACGCACTTCAATATACCCATCCCAACACCTCTCGCCAATCATCCAAACCAACTGGTCCCACTTCAAACGACACATTCCAAGAAAGATAACCCTCCCACTTCCCTTACTACCCCACACGAAATTGACTCAGCCATTTCACATTTCAACCATCAAGTCAAGAAAGCCTTCAATAACTCATCAACTTTCACCCCGCTCCCACCCCACCCTACCTCCCGACATTCTGCTTCTACTAAGACAAAAACGCAAAGCCCAAAAGTTTTACTACAGGATACGGTCACAAACTGACAAAATTACCTACGTTACACTAAAACAACAACTCCACAACAGACTAGCACTATTTGACAAAACAAAATTCGATGATTTAATACAGGACACCAATACAGGCAACCCCAAAAATCTACATACTCTAATCCAATCCATCCGACCGAAGAATTCACACTAATTTCCCTCTTCACCTCTGAAAACTCTCTTACCTATGACCCACAAGAAATAACTAACATTTTTGCCAGCACCCTTACAACTCGCTTTACTTCCACTAATACCCATATCCCAGACTCCGCTATCCTTCAATTCATGCGAACCTCGTCCCTACCTCCAGAAAGACAAACCATGTGGACCATACATAATGATGACTCCACTGAAGCGATAAAATCTCTCCAAGCCAACAAAGCCCCAGGACCCGACAAAATTTACTCCAATTACCTTAAAAACTTTACTTTAAACGAAATCTCTCACTTAACCCTTATCTTCAATTTCTGTCTTCATACCGCTTACTTCCCCAAACATTGGAAAACCGCCACTGTAATTATGATCCCCAAACCTCACAGACCCCAGTCATCCCACAAACTATGGACCTATTAGTCTCCTCTCTATCACCGGGAAACTGTTCGAAAAAATTCTTCTAAAATTCATGAACCCCTACCTTCAACCCCACATCCACCCCTCACAATTCGGCTTCCGCCCTGACCGATCATCGGCTCTGCAGACATTCTACCTTGCCATTAACATCGCCACAGAACTTCGTCATAAAACCCGCCAGACACCTGCTCTTTTCACCGACCTGTCCTTCTCTTTCGACTCAACCACCAAAGTCTCCTGTTCAAATTAAAATCATACCTTCCCACTTTCGTTACAAATCTCCTATCAAACTATCTATCACACAGAACTTTTAAAACCAAGTATCTCTCACCCTTTTCCCCCTTCCACCCCATTTCGGCGGGAGTTCCACAAGGTGCAGTTCTTTCCCCCACCCTCTCCTCAGTCTACTTAAATGATGTTCCCTCTTGTCACGGCATTCAACAATTTCTTTATGCCTAGCCTTTTCTCTCACTCCACCGTGTTTCTCAACAGTCCATCAACAACCTTCAAAATGCCGCCCACACAATTGCATACTGGTTCCAAGAAAACTCGATCACTATCGGCTCGATCACTCGATCATTGTCGGCCTGCGTTCTGGGGCGGGTCGCCCCCTTCCAGGCAGCTGCGGTAAACACAGGGCGGCTCCCAGCGTGACCGTCTGACGTCGCCGCGCTTCCTTGGGTCCTCCTACCTATCAACCAGCGTCACCAACCTCTGGCAGCAACGGTGTTCATCGGTGATGATTGATTGGAAGCCAATAAACTTCCGTATCAGCAGTCGCGGACGATTGTCATAACGCGGTAAATTGACTTTAGGCGCGAGACTGCCTCCCTTTTCGCCTGAATTTCTGAGAGTGCGCGAAGCGTCAAGCTCCCTCCGCAAGAGGCTTCGAATGCTAAGTGAAGTTAAGTGAGCAAGCGAAGTGAAAATAATAACTTGAGTTTCAGTCAATGCCTTACTGAACTCAAATGAATTCTCGTAACGAAGTTAGTACATCGAGTGACTACTCGGAACCAAGTTAAAAAATAAAGTGACTACTCATAGCCGAGTCAAGAAAACGAATGACTACTCGTGGCCGAGTTAGGAAATCGAATGCCCTCAGAGCGGCGGCCTGGTATCAGCAAACTTCGGTACCCCCGACCTTCGTAGCGTTGCTATTGTATGTGTGTGTGTGTTTTCCATGTCATTCCCAACAGGTTATCCTGGGAGGGATAATTAGTATAAACAACTATTAGGATCCGACGGAGAGGCGGAGAGGATGACGCGCGCAATGGGTGACACATGCTAGAAGGAGATCAATCGCCCTCATTATTCCAAGCTGTTGAATGCCGAAGCGTCCCGGAAGGTGGCGACCTGTTCTGTTGCAATATATATATAATCGCATGAGTTAACCGAGCTAACCGCATCAATGAAAGCAAGCCTTCCACGGCGTACTCGGCGGCGAGAGCACACGGAGTGCCCTGTGCGGCCAGAGCCGAAGGGGAGAGCCCGCCGCTCAGCCGCTTGGGCCTCCGCGAGGCAGCGCTTTGAAGCACGTTCCTCAAGCAAATACCACAGACACTTTTTAGGGCTTTTTCTATTAGCACTGCCGTGCTGGCCTGGTTACCAAAATTGGCTCATTTTTTGTAATTAGCATTAAGGGTAAATCAAAAACTAATTTTAATTTTTCTTTAATGAAACTCATTTCTTTTCAAAAGGGGGAAGGTTTCTTGCAATTTTGTTTCAAAACGCGAATTAAATGCTATTTGTTGATCAATTTTTTGTTTTTGTGAGCTGCCACAACGCTCATCCTTCCTCAATCAAAAACGGTATCCAGCAGAACCAACTGGGCTAGTCAAGAAAAACGACTATTACAAAATATATTTAAGAAATTGGATTCAAATTTCCCCATGCGTTGAAGATTGACTGAATTACATATGTAATCTTTCGACATTTCTTGGTTTTATATAACTTTTGATAATTTTTCATGACAAAATATCCACCTCTATCCCAAATACTCTCTTTAATTGACAATAAAAGACATGGCCAACGAGCCATAAAGTTTAGCTCGTGGTCTCTAATGGCCTAGATGTTGATGCGACCTTAAATTTAAAAAAAGCTTAGCTTTACCTCTTGTTAGCCATTTGTGTGGATCATACCATACGAAGTGGCAGGTGGCACGGAGGCATAGTGGGGGAGATGAGCTAGGGGAGACCAAGGGATAGGTAGCAAAGGAGAGAGGGGGGAAATCTGTAGCGGTTTAATACAAAAATGAGGAAATCCTCCTAAAAGGGCCGCCTGAGAGGCGAAGGACCAACTGCCAATCAGCGGCCGCGACCCAGCGACGTCCGCCTGTCGATGCGCTGCCCTTCGTTGCGGGCGCCGTCCCGCGCTCCCCCCCCCTCCCTGCTTCCGACGAGGAAGAAGAGGACGGGTTCACGCTCCACACCCGCCGCCGCCGCCGCCCGCCCCACGCCTTTGTCTGCGGAGTGGCGGACACATTGGAGCTCCCCAGGGCTGGAGGTGGCCTGCGGCGACGCCGTCAGAGCACCGCGCGAAGCCCTCGGGAGGCTCTGGCCGCCCTGCGATGGAGAGCCGTGGAGGGCCACGGGAAGCGCCAAGGTTCTTCTCTATGTCTTGCGAGGCTGACCGTTAGAGCTTTCGCTGCGAAGGCTCCATGACAACCTGCAACGTCTTGAGTTCCAGGTTCAGAAGCTGGAGCGTTTGTTTGATCAGCCATCGGCCTGGGTGCTGCCCCTATTTTGCCCTAATAACAATGTGCGTACTAGTTGGCTAAAGTCATTTTTGACCTTTTGTTTTTCTTTATGTTACAGGATTGGCCATAGATGCCCGTAAGGGTAAAAATGGTCGCATTGCATTTTCCGTGCGTTCACAAAGAGGGCTCTGGCAGCAATACTTTCTGAGGAAGGCTACAATACGCTGGTCGAAACGTTAGCCAGTGACGCGGCTCGACCCGAGTAGCCTAGATGGCACAAACTCTTATCATCACCGTATCATATTTTCACAGTTACCATTAAATGCAATAGTGGTCGCTAATGACTAGATGTTGATGAGATATTAAATAAATAATAATAATGATAATAATAATAATAATAATAATAATAATAATAATAATAATAATAATAATAATAACAACAACATTGATAATAATAATATTGGAACAACATATCAATTCTGTTAGCAACTACATAAAATTTAACAATAGTAGTACATTGTGTATTTAAAACTTGAAATGGTAAGGATGCAAATTTTGACCAGTTTTTTTCCTTCTTTCAATTTGTACACGTAGTCTAGAGAGAAACATAATTTTTTTTTGTCAGGCATTCTCCTTCTATTTCACAGGATGCGATATGCCACTTCTTTTTTCTTTGCTCCAGCTCGAAATAGTTTACATGAAACAGAAAGTCTAATGGGATAAGAAATTCTTATTTATTTATATTTTTTAAGGGAAATGTAATTTGAAAATTCCTTTTCACTGTAGAACATGTTGTTAAGAAAGAAAGCTTTCAATTTACTTTTAAATATATGAATTGTGTTTATGTCTTTAATATCATTGCCTAGATTATTCTAAAGTGTAATGCCCTCTATTAGGGTACTTTTTGATAAAGTGTAGTGTCAGAGTGGGGAACATATAGTTTATCCTTTTGACGGGTGTTGTAGTTGTGTACATCAGAATTTAAAGTAAAAGTGTCTTCGTTTTCCATAAGAATTTTCTTTGTGAAGACCACTATTTCAAATACATTCATGCATGGTAGAGGAAGAATCCTTAGTTT